CTTGGCCTGAGCCATTTTCTAGCAATGCCCAGGACTCTGAACCCACTCTCTGCTCTGGCCTTATTCCCCTCCTCACCCCACAGCACGTGCTGAAGGAGCAGGACCTGGATGAGGACTTACTGGGGTGCTCGCCAGGTGACCTCCTCCGATTTGACGACTACAACAGTGACAGCTCCCTGACCCTCCGCGAGTTCTACACAGCCTTCCGTAAGTCGAGCCCCACTATGGGGTCCCAGTGGGCAGATGGGCTTGTTTCCACACATGTTCCTGCACCAAATTAGTGTCAGGGGCCTGGAGTCTGCCCTCAATTGCCCCCTAGGTTAGTTTCTTTTATAGGTGAAAGCAGTTGAATTTGTTTTGCATCAAGCCTGAACGTTAAGAAAAGGGTAAAAGGCGAATGGGTGGGGAGGGAGAGGGTTTGTCCTGTTCCTTTTGAATAAAGGTTTTTCTCAGTGTTTGAGGGACCCAGGACTGTGATTGAAGCGTAGCTGTGAGGGCACTTCAGGACACCCCTAGGAGATTCTATGATTGCTCACGGAGGGAGCAGATTTTAGGGCTATCCTCAGGCTATGGCCTGGCCCCATCAGGAAGCCTTGCCTGGGGAAAAACCCTGCAGGAGGGCCTGGAGGTTTGGCCAGGCAGGGGCAGGGAGCAGTCACCCCCAGGGTCCAACTTGAAGAGAGGCAGAGGATCCTTGTAGAAGAACAGAAAGTAGACGCTCCTGTGAAAATGGAGGAGCTACTCTTGAGTGGCCCCTCTATGAAGTTCCTGGTGCATAATGGATGGACGTCCTAAGGACTGATGTCTCTTCCCTGAGGTAATCTTCCAAGAGATTGCATCATGTTAGCCATAGGCAGAGCTGGGACAGGGCTTCCAAAAGATGCGAGATGCGAGAGCTAGCCCTGATAGCTCCAGACAGGGATCAGCATTGAGGACATGGTGGTGCTGGGCCCAAACGAGACCAGATGGGACATTCTTGGCCCCACAGAGATGAAGCACCTTATGTTAGAGGGCAGTCAGGCCCTGCTGAAAGCAGGTGATGTGTGCACCCTGAGTGATGCACCCTGGACATGACCTGCAAGCTCATGGTGCCTCAGTGCAGGATCTGGCATTTGGGAGGTGGGTGTGAGCTCCCTAGGGACACTGAGTACTCTGAGCCACAGATCCTGGTATCCTCCCTCAACCCCATCCTTTACCTGGAGTTCCATTTTTCAGAAAAGTATTCCCGCTTCCTGTTGATATCTCTTTCAGCTGTTTTTATTCCAAACATTCACAAGGCCTAAGAAAGAGTTCTTGTGATTTGTTGACAAGTAAAAGAGGTACTTGGATGACATAAGAGGAGAGAAACAAGCATGATTCTTTCCTACAGGAAGTGTTCATGAGCTTGATGTGGTTGGGAGGAGCCTTTCCAGTTCACAACATCCTTAGTACCAAAGACCAAAGTCCAACTCTAATTGCAGGGCTTTGCTTGAAATACTGTGACTGTGCCCAGTTCCCCAATCATCCTCCTCCCTGCCCACTAGTAAAACTCATATCTGCTTATACTAATTTATACTAAGGTGTGAATGACAGCAGCTTATCCTGCTGCAGAAGGTGTTTGCTTTGTGGACTAAGGAGCTTACTTCCAGAAATAAATCTCTAAATTTTAGAATGTGTGGAAATAGCAACTACCCAGACCTGGCTCTTGATAGCCAATTGTTAAATTTTCAAGAATTTTTCAAGTAAACAGTTAAATAGCTAGTACTTAAAATCAGACATGGTGGGAATATTTACACTACAGAAATTTATACCACATAAATGCTGCCCAAAAGGGAGAGGTGTGCTTTTTTCTTCTCTGGAGAGCAGAGTTAAGCACTTGATGATTCTAATCTCATAGAACATGAGCAAGAACAGGGCAGAGCATTAGGGCAGATTACAGGGAGAACAGGTCTCCAACTAAGTAAAAAAGCGCATGATTTCTGGGGACAGTTCTAAGACATTCCCAGAACTGCTTTCTGAGCTCAGGCACCTCTGCAAAAGGAGCTGTGAAGGAAAAAGTCGGTTTATTTTAAGAGCCAGAGGCCAAGGCTAGACTTCAGGGATTTGGGGGATACAGCAGGCACCACTCTTTATATGTGCCACAATGGCAGCATTAGGCAGAGAATGGCACTGCTTGGACACTGTCCTGGCTCCTGGTACTGCAGCAGCCTCTGTTCCATGAGCTCAATTCCCAGGTATGGGCTCAGAGCCAAACAGCAAGCTCTCGGCTTTACTCTCAAGGAAGTGGAAGCATGCTATTGCTTATGATGAAAGAGAAGGACTCCTTGGCTTCCCTAATGATGGTCGTTGTAAACACAAGCTAGACTGGAAAAGGAGGGATGGCATCACCTCACCTCCAGCCATATATCTCATGCAGAGCAATGTGGTGTCTGCTCCCTTCATTCCTGGGTTATTATTTGAAAAGCTTTATAATCATCATTTTTAAAGCAAATTAGATTTTGCTATGGCCTTGGACTTGTTTTGAACCAGGCAGCCAAACCATTAATCACAGCCCAGCCCAAATAATAGATATGCAGTAAAATGTAAACTCGTGGCCATTAAGGAAGCCGCAAAATGAGTTAACCCAGCTATAAAGGCTTGACACGCAGCCACTTGGAGCACAGGGGATCAATGGTTTTTCAAAGTCATAGGAACTCTAACCTATATTCCCATAGCTCTGGGGATAGATTTATGGTTCAGTGAATTTTAAATACGTAATTGAAATGAGACATATAGGTACAACGTATTACCCAACAATCAATGAGCATTAAAGAATCTTTCTAAAATCCAGAAAGTAATATCTCACACATTTCAGCAACAACATTTTGGAGGTGACGAGCTGGTAGAGGTTGAGATTTTAAAATTTTATTTTCTAATCTCTATTTTGCCAGCATCCTTGGGTGCAAGGCAGGTGAGGTTGCGGGTGACTTCGGCTCAGTAGCCTTCTGAACCAGACTCGGTCACTCTACTAAAGGAGGATGAGTTTGGGGGTGTTTTCCCTGGAGAAATGAGTTGTATTCACAAGTTTTTGAGATTGGACAGGGAGGGGTCTCCTAAATCATGTCTTCCTCTACAGCCAGCCTGGCCCTCACTGGGGTGGTGTTTGCCACAGTCTGCAGCCAGCTGAGGGTGCTGGCAAGAATCCCATGGTTGGTGGTTGCCTGTGCTCAGCTGAGCTGGTTCGTGGTGGGGCTGCACCACTTTCCTGGCTCTGAGGAACAGGTGATCCCCCTCCAGGGAGCATGGGCAGAAGGCAGGTGCCTTAGCCCTGGGAGTCAATTCAGTCTCTTTCTGATTGTCAGATGGAGCTAAGGCTCCTGATCACCACCTCCACACAGTGACAGGAATTAAGAATGAGGGTGGTTTCCCTCTCTTCCTCCATTTATCCACTGAACATTCTCTCCAAGTTGCTCTGACTTCCAAAATCAAAGGCTGGACTACGAACCAAAGGCACAGTGTCTGCTCAGCACAGGCCCTTCACCCTCCCATCCCCACCTCCCCAACAGGGAGCAGAGAGCCAGGCTCTGGGGCCACTGGTAAGCAAGGTCTGTGCTGGCCTGTCCATCACAGTAAATTAACCTAAAAGTTGCTTGTCTAAAAAGCTTCTCAATAATGCATGTTTTCTGCACTTTGCTGAATGCTCAGGTTGGGATCATGAGGAAAACATGTTACTTAAACAAGGATTTTTCTTTCCCTTTAAATGCATTACAAGTTTCCTCTGCTTTTTAGAAAGATACTTGTCCTTTAATTAATCCTATGAGAGCAACCTCAGCGAATGTGCTGGATGCAATTGAAGGCTCTAGCAGGGCAGGACAACGGGCTTCACGTGTTGGCATCTGGGGATCGCATACGCTGTCGGGAGGACGGCAGGGTGGGAGTCGGATGACCCCCCTTCCCCTGCCCCGGCACTTGTAAGCTCCAGGCAAGCAGAGAGGAAAACTGTTTTAGTCTGACAACTATGCTGTTGCTGTAGCCAGGACGACTCTGTGAGACAGATACAATGGTCACCTGGGGAATTTGCAGCTGTTTTCTGCCACCGTCGCTGCAGAACAAAAGGACGGAGTGGCTTCACCTTCCATTCCATCACACTCTGGGTTGGACGATGCCTGCCACCGCACCATACAGTCACACACAGTATTGCGACTGTCCTCACACCCACCCTGTGGTGAAAGGATGGTCAAATAAGCGGCAGCAAGCATCCTCACCACCCAAATCTACTTAGTCCTCATCTGTGTAGGCTGAGTGCAGACAAGGAGTTCAGATGACAAGCATACTGCCTTATCCTGCTCCATGGTGGTTCCCGAGTTTTAGGTAATGAGTAGCAAGATTTCAGATAGCATGGGGTTTATCAAACATTTTATCTGAATTCATCTGGCTCTTGAATTTGGAAAGCAAGTGATGACTGCTTTGGCTGTGGCCAAGACCACTCACGCCAATGGCTCCCCTCACCCCAAAGGGAGAGACTGGTTGTCTCACTCAGGACTTGAAATGAAGTGGCCAAAAAGCTGGTTCACTGCCCTTGGTCCCTCATTAGTTCATGGGCACAAAACTGTCTGTGATGGAGTGGCCAAAGGAAGACAGATGTGAGTCTCACCACCTGCTGCCAAGGCCAGAGATGGGGCTACTCTCCTGACTTCAGGTGTAGAGAGCGGGGCTTCAGGGGACTGCTCTGTGAGCTGCCTGAGTGCCCCCGAGGCCAGGGCTTGAAGACTGGGTTCAGAGTCAGCGTACCATCTGAATGATTATGCTCGTCAATATTGCTGTAGTTAGTAATGAGCTCTTAATACTCCAGTTGTGTAAAGTGATACCTAACATGTGTTGACACTGTATGTTACATCCCATTTTACAGCTGAAGAAACTGAAACTCAGAGAAGTAGCTAACCCAAAGTCACGTAGCCAGCAGGTAGCAGAACCAGATTGAACCCACATGTCTGATTCCAGAACTTTCTCATGCATTTATTATTTTTTATTTTTTATCACTGTATTTACTACTATACAATGCAATCATTTGCTGTGGCCCTCCATCTCTCTTCTACCCCCAGTGGCCCCAGTTCTGTTTTCTCTCCCTGAAAGCCCAACAAATCACTGTGATTGTTGTATCCTTCTTTCCCTCTCTATTTATTTTTTTAGATCCCACTTATGAATGAGGACATGTGGTATTTCTCTTTCTGTGCTTAGTTTATTTCACT